GGGGGGGCGACGGGGCGGCGGGGTGGTGGGGCGACGGGGCGGCGGAGAGTGGTGGGGACGGCGGCGCGCGTGTGAAGAGGGAGAGAAACACATAGAGAGGGGCGGGGTGGGGCGCGGCCGCCGTTAGATAGGTTAAATCTTTTCCGTCCGCCCCCCTTTGCCATCCGCTTTTTTGCTCTTTGCCGTCCGCTAGCAGACGGCAAAGAGGGGGGCCCGTTAAGTTTTTTTTAAGCAGCTTGTTAGTGGGGCCCCCTCCCTCTTTGCCGTCCGCTAGTGGACGGCAAAGAACTGGCTGATGGCAAATATGATCTTTGCCATCAGTCAGTTGTTTGCCGTCTGTTTTTTGGAAACGGACAACAAAGACCTCATTTGCCGTCAGCTAGCAGACGACAAAGAAGGGGCTGATGGCAAATCCTCTGATTCCAGTAGCGTTGCCTCCTGGCACAGGGTTTGAGATAGTCTTCTCAAATGCAGACCATCTCGGATAGATGCCATCTGCTAGGTAGTATCCCTTGTTGTAGTGCCGCCCATTGACCTCAAAGTTCACTGGAGGAGAATGACCTTCAACAAGCTTGGCAAAGACAGGGGAGCACTGCAGCGTTGATGTCATTGTGAGTTCCTGGCATACCAAAGAAGGAGTGCCAAATCCAGAGGTCATGTGTGGCCACTGCCTCAAGTACCACACTGCAACCGCCTTTGGCGCCTTTATACATCCTCTGCCAAGCAAATGGACAGTTCTTCCATTTTTAATACATGCAGTCAATGCTTTCAAGCATCCCAGGAAATCCTCTTACTGCATTCTATGCTAGGATCCGAGCAGTGTCTACAGCATTGGGTGGTCGCAAGTATTACGGTCCAAACACTGCCACCACTGCCCTGCAGAACTTGTAGAAGCACTCAATGGTCGTGGATTCGGCCATGCGCCAATAGTCGTCGAGTGAATCACCGGGAGCTATGTATGCAAACATTAGCTGTCGTGCACTTCTGGATTGAGGTGAATCCAAATTTGCCGGTGCAAAATCCTTCTTGCACTTGAAGTAGCTGTCGAACTCCCAGATGGAATTCACAATCCTGAGGAAAAGCTTTTGGTTCATCCAATAATGACGCTGAAATACTTTTTCGCCGTGCAGTGGAGCGTCGGCGAAGTAGTCAGAGTAGAGCATGCAATAGCCTTCCAGTTAATGCCGGTTCTTTGCTTTCAGTCGGCCCGACGCCGAGCCACCTCGCCGCGGCTTTGCATTGCTCGCGAGCAGGCCGGCCAGGGCGGCGAGGACCATGAGATGCTCTTCGTCCTGGACGTTGGCATTGGCTTCCTCCTCCAGCAGCGCCGCGAGCGCCTCCTCATCTTCGTAGTCCATCGCTGAACACCTGACGGGTGTGGCGGGCGCACAGCCGCCGATATCCCTCCCTGCGCGGCGCCGGAAACCTCGCCCAGGAAGGTGGTGGAGAGGTTGCCACGGCGAAACCCTCTCTCTTTTTTGGCGGGGATTGGCCTATCTAGCGGTGGTAGGCGGTGGGCGGGG